AACTTTTGTTATAAAAGTTTTTATAATTTTATAATTAAAATTTTAACTTTAATTAGCTAAGAAAATTTTTTTCTTTTTTACTCTTTCGTCTTCGTATTTGTTTTTTTTTAGTATTAGTTTTTGTTATTTTACTTTCCTCTTTAATATTAGTATTAGTGTTAGTGTTTTTTTTTTTTCTACTTCTCTATGAGAAGATGTTATCAGTTTGGTGATATCCTATTATAGGGCAGTGGTCTGATAGTGCCTTCTGAGATAGATGTAATTTCTAGTTAAGATTCATCAAGATGTGTTTAAAGAGACATGTCTGCTTAGTGTGGCCGGTCGCTTGTAAGTACTCTTTGAAGTAACTGCGAGATGTCATGTCAAAAATTATGTAGTATAACAATTTGTTTGGTATCATTCTAACCAATCGATGCCCAGTAATAAAGAATTTTGGCAAGATGGCCTAAGTAGGAAAAAAAAAAAAAAAAAAAAAGTATTAATTTTTAAATTTAAAATATTTGTATATATCAGTATAGTTTGTATACCATCAGTACAAGTAATGGATTACATACTAGTTTGTATTAAAATTATAGAATATATATTTTTAGAATTTTAAAAAGTTTGTTAATAGTCAAAAATAGATTTTTTTATCTTATAGACAACTTAAAATTTTTTATACAAATATAAAAATTATTTCTAAAAAGAATAATTATATTTATAACACTATGTTATATAATACCCTATCATGTGATATATAATTGAATATAGTTTATATTATATAGCATTATATAAAATTGTTATATGATGTGCTATATGTCATACAAAGTAGAAATTGTTACATGAAATACCATATGCTACAAAACAAAAATAGTTATACAAAGTGCTATATATCATACAAAGCAGAAATCATTACACAAACTAGTTATACAAAAAAATTAGACCTAGCTGCTGCACCAATTTTGTCATAGATGATTCTCAATTTTGATTGGCTAACAGCCATGATTTATAAAATTTTGGCCCGTATTATATAATTGTATACATAATTTTTGACCAGAATTAACTTTTTAACCTTTTCATTCTCAAAATAGAAATTTCTAGAGAATTAGATCTGCAGAAATATTTTTCACTTAATATGCAGCTGTGGTTTCATTAGTAAAATTTTGAGTAAATTCAGTCTAAATATTTGATTGTTGCTTATAGCCAATCAAAATTAGTGACAATTTTGGTGCAGCAGCTAGGTTCAATTACAAAAATATTTATAGAATTAATTTTGTAAGCAATATGTGGATAAAATTAAAAACAACTAAACATTATATCTGGCAAACTCTTATAAACAGATTATTTTTCTCTGTGTATGTTTATTTGAAATAAATAACTATTGATGCATTGATCAATATTATAAAATTCATCTAATCAATCAAATGAATAGCTAGCATATGCCTTGCATAGTACTGTTAGCTGTATTAATTAATATATAATCAATATTTTATACTTAATTAGCAAGTTGGATAAAAAGAAATAAAAAAGTATGTACTATATATAAATATGAAAAAATATACAAGGGCTGTCACCTCATTTATAAAAATCTACTGTTAAATAATAGAACCATTTATTGAACTCACAAAACACATGAATGTTAATAATTAAACAATGTTTGTCTAAAGCTATAATATATATATGTTGTACCCCAGATTAGAATTCGCCTAATCTAAAATCCAGCTATCCTAATTCAGAATCGGGGTAACCCAATTTAGAATTCTTATATAGGTTACCCAGATTAAAAATTCGGTATACATTGGATACAAATATTGCATTGACCCAAGCACATTTAGTTCTATTTTTTTTTTTTTTTTAGTAAAGCTACCTTTGTTAAACATGTATTATACGATCTTTGAACAATGTAATTAATTACTGAATTAAAAACATGGCTTATTTATTAGAATAATACGCTTAAAATCAAATTTTTATTGTTAACTAAATTAGCTGCCCAGACAATAAGATTATGCAATACTGCAAAGTACATAATTTAAAATAAAAAATTTATTTTCTATTTCCAGCTTTAAGCTCAGTGCTTACACTTTGAATTCTTCGGATAACATCTACTTTCACACACAATATTTGCTTTTTTACAAATACATCTTGCTGTAAGACAGTCACTTTTACAATTGCATACTTTGTTACTAGCAAGAGTATTAGACTGCAATCTTGCCACCTCAATCATACTAACAGTCGTATTGGTTGGAGGATTATCCAACTCTGGATATTCTTTTGGTCCAAGTGGTAAAATCACACCAGCTGAAAATGTTTGGTCAAGAACGCCAAATTGACATACAAGGTAATACATATTTCTGGGAAGCACTGCAAATATTTTGCAAGGGAGTACACAACGATCACTAGGTCCACGGTCAATTTTAGCAACCTGAATTTTTACTAGATCACCAACTTCATAAGCATGTTCATGAATATTGTATTTTGTGTGCATCTGGTGTTTTATCTTAGAATGATAGTCTTCAAGATTTTTATTTGCAACTTGCTGATAAATGTTATGCTGAGAAGTTGAATTATTTGAAGCTTCTTGAATAATCCAAATATGATGTTTTTTGGAAGGAACATAATCATTTGAATTATTTAAATCAATAAAATTTTGATTTTTCTATTATAAATAGAAATATAAATTGTAATTAATGAGAATTTACAATATCTACTATAAAGAAAATAAATCTTATAATAACTTTGTCCTTTATAATTCTTTTCTGATTACTTGTAAAGTCATCTTGCGCAGAAACTATTTGCTCGTTAGTATCATTAGTAGCAGATTGTATTTGTTGACTATTGAAAGTAGTTTGTTGTTGCATTGTATAATCACCTTCTAGGTCTACATATATTTGAGAGTTGACAATTTGGGAATCCTGTTTATTATAATTGAAATTAGATTAAAAAAAAAAAAAAATTTTATATAGATTATTAACTCGATACTTCCCAATTCGTGTTCTTCCATAACAAATTTATCTCTTTGCACTGTGTTAACAAGCTGTACTGAGGATTGGGAATTTAAAGTTTGTGAGGTGCTATTTTCTTTTATAGTGCTGTCCTCTTCTTGAAAAATATCAGAAAATGGCGTCAAAGATCGTGAACTTGATGGAGAAGTTACTATTAAAGACCGTGAAGCACTACCTCTTTCCATATTATTAACTTGAGTGATTTTATTGAAATCTTCATATCTATCAGATAATTCATTATCTTCATTTTCAGAATCATTCTCATCCTCGATGATATCTTCAGGCAAATCTTCCTCCATATTAATATTATGTAGCTTCTATTCTTCAATTATATTAAAGTGATGTAAGGGATGTTGCCCAAAAACCAATTCATATAGTATATGATTGGTAGAAAAAAAAAAAATTAATAAAATATCAATAATAAGTTAGAATTATTAATCAATATATTTACATGTAACTATCAGAAGGCCAATGCTCCAATCTCTCCGATTATTGTCTTCCATCTATGCAAAGAAAACGTTCTTTAGAGTTTTGTTAGAGTTTTCAATTATATCCTGCGATTGAGGATGGTAAGGATGCCTATTTATTATATGGATTTCTTTCTATAAACTGAGAAGTTCATAAATAATTTGTGCAGTGAATTCTCTCCTGTTATCACTTTGCAAAATATATAATGGCTCAAAGACAGTAAAAACAGACAATAAGAATGCAGCAACTTCTGCTACCTCTTTAGTATATAGTAGACATATCCACAAGAACCTTGTGAAATGATCACGAAGATGCGCAATATACCAGTATTCCTTATCCAGATATTTCTCAAATGAAACCAGATCTACTTGCACACGTTGCAAGAATTTTTTTTGCAATAATGGCCTCTCCAATAACAAGAGCAGAAAAATTTCTTCTCATATAACATAATATACATTGAGCAACGTATGCCTCTACAAAGGACCGAGGAATGTAAGCATATTGCTTGCTTATCTAAAATATATACTAAATTAAAAGCTAGAAAGTATAAAAGACCAACATAAATTTAATTATACTCTATTTACCACATCAAAAGTTTTCTTTGAACCAGAATGCTTATGAGTATTACTATGCATCCTTCCAATAACAGTATAAAGGTTTTGAAATGAACAAATAGCCTGGTCTGGTTTATTATTTGAATTGACATTCTTCACTTCAATAAGTTGAAGAATAGGGTTCTGGGGTGTTTCGAGGTTACGTAAATAAAAACTATTTTTTGCCCAAAAACAGTCTTTTGCTGTTCCATTAGATGTATTTGTAGGATTTTTTAAAATCTTAATTATCAAATCATAGTCTTCTTGTATAATAATAGCTTTTCTTCGTTGTTTAGGATTACAGTTTGATAAAAATTCTGATACAAGTTGATCAAAGGCAACATGAGAAAAAAAAGGAAAATCTGCATCTCTATCCATAATATTTGACATTAAATAATTGGTAAAGGGATAAATAGTAAGCTGTATATATCATTCTATTGTGTAAGTTTATTTGATTTATTCGCTTTTTTTTTTTTAAAAAAAAAATACTAATCACATCTTATTTTTTTAATTTATAATAAATTTAAACTTTTAATTAATTGCATCATATTACAAAAGCCGTCATTTACTTTGCTCTCATATAACTGATTATACACACTTTGCAACTGCGAACACTTAATTTAAATCGTGATCGATCATTTATTTTCAATTGATCGTATATACACAGGCTTCAATCAAGTGTCGACCAACATTCTCAATCTGGGTAACCCATATAAGAATTCTAAATTGGGTTACCCCGATTCTGAATTGGGATAGCCGGATTCTGGATTTTGTAGATTCCAATTTGGGGTATAACATCTATATTATATTGATATATAATCAATACATAATATATATTTAAATGAACATGGTTTAAAAAAATATTATTAGGAATAAAACGTTTTATTAGGCCTTATTAACGTTTATCTTGATATATAAAATAAACATATGCTTGTCAAAAAAAATTTGCTTTATAATTGATTCTTATCTTATAATATATAATAAAATAACCTTATTAGTACCAATATGAAATCAATACACTTGTTTTAAATATATAAATCACCTAGCCTATACTGTATATTTACCCAACTCAGTTTTTTTTTTTAGAAAAAAAAAGCTGTAATCTAACATGAAAAAAACTTTATTAACATTCGCACTAATATTACAGTAATACAAAAGCATAAAAATATAAAGAAATATAAAGTTATTTTAACTATAACCTTTGCAA